GGGCCAGCAAATCCGGCCGCCTGGGGGCCTCATCTCGGGGGAATGGGGCTGAATTCCCTGGATTCCCCCGAGCCAGGACCCTGCGGGAGCGGGGGAGAGAAGGGGAGGGTTGAGAGCCACCGGGCTGGTGGTGTCTGAGATCTGTCTGCCTCTGCCAGACACCGGAGCCTGCAGTTTCTCTTCGCTTGTGGAATTTCAGACAGCGCTAGAAACAGGTCCGGCTGCATATTTGGAATGACGTGTTGTCCATGTGGAGTTAAAAGGGAAGGAGAGAGAGGGATGGAAAGACGGGGTCCTGCTAGCCTGAGCACAGATTTCCAGGCGCGGGTGCCCTGCATCAACTCACCCTTCTTTGGTTAGAAAATGCTGGGCGCTGTGTACCCCTTAAAGTGCTTTCCCTGCGTGGTTTAGAATTGAAAGGTAGGGCCTGAGTTCCTCCAGCTGGGACAGTCTGATACTGTTTTAAATCGGGGCACAAAGGACACACAACGTTGTACTCCTCTGCTTGGCTGTCTTCTTGGTGTGCTTTCCTTTCCAGCATTTCAGAGGAAAGAGGGCGAGCAGGGGCAGGAGGTTTGCTCAGAGCATTCCCATATCGGGTAGAAATGTTCAGCAGTGGTGGGGTGGGGAAGGGCAGGCTGGCAGCCCAAACTGCTGGGAGTACTGGGCCCTCCACAGGCCTCCGGCGGGATTTGTATTCCCATGGCTTGTGTGTTTTCACTCACTGCGTTTGGGTCCTTCCCATAGCTCCGAAAATGCAGCGCTTCTCATTACGACTCTAGGAAGATCCAACAATTTAAACAAACAAAAATGGCCTTGCTTTTCAGCTTGAAATGCATAGCTCAGGCCAGCAGCAAGCTCTGTGCCTTGAAAAGCTCTTGTGTTTCGTTTGCTAAATGTCTGGTTTAGGCAGAAGTAGCATTTACCAAATGCCACATGATCCAGGGTTTGGACGGAGGCTTGCCCTTATTTCCATCCTCCTTTGCATCTGTTTGCATACACCACCGCCACAAAACAGGGTGTTCTTGGGACAGTGGATGTTTTGTCCAACAGAAGTCCAAGTTGGAGAAACTGTTTCCTCTGGCTGGCACGGGGTTTGCTTTTGTGTTTAAACGGGAACACACAAGGTAGAGAGAGGTGAAGTCTGTGCTCTGGGTCCTTGCACCTCTTCTGCTGGAGTTCATCACTCGGCTCTCTCAGCGGGGAAGGCGGCAAGGCCAGTTGTGATCTTTGCAGGTGATGAGGCACTGGGACCCCGGGGCCACCGTTCAGTAAGGCGGCATGATCTGCACTGGGAGGTCAGTTATGCTAAGTGTGGTGTGTTTTTTTTGCCTTTTGTGCCTCAGAGTGTACTTTATGAACCAGGAGTGTTAGTGACTGCTATCCTACTTCAAGGGACTGTATACAACAAAACAAATTATCTACTTGAAAATGCTTTTAAAAGTCTTTTCATGATTCTTTTAAAAAATAACAATATTTAGTAAGGACTTGCTATGTTCTTGGCTCTTTAAAATCATTATCTCATTACATTCTTTTTAACAGCTTTATGAGTTAAATGCTGGTATTTTCATCTTTTTGCTGGGGGGGGGAGGGGGGGGGGGGGGGAGGGGAAACTGAAGTTCCCAACGGTTTATTAGCTCACCCAGCTGTAAAGTTATAGATCCAGGATTCGAACATAGGTCTGTCAACTCTTAACCATTTGTATACCATAAGCGTCTATAGACATAAGCGGCGGACCTTTTTTACTTAAATTCAAAATACCGTGGCAGTTAACTGGTTAAATAATACCAGCTTGCCACACTGCAACACACACACACACACACACACACACACACACACACGTTAGCTTTTGCATTATGTGTATCCCATAGCATTAAAAGATTGTCTTCTCTTTCTCCCACAGGAAAAGCAGATGATGTTCTAAATGGGGACCATGACAAGGAACAGAGAGATCCTTATTTTGTGGAGACTCCCTATGGTTATCAACTAGATTTAGATTTCCTCAAATACGTGGATGACATACAGAAAGGAAACACCATCAAGAAACTGAACATCCAGAAGAGGCGGAAGCCGTCTGTGCCATGCCCAGAAAGCAGGCCCCCACCTGGCCAGCAGGGTGTGTGGACTTCCACCGAATCTCTGTCATCTTCCAATAGCGATGACAACAGGCAGTGCCCTAGCTTCCTCCTAGCCAGAAGCCAAGTTACATCGACTCCTGTCGCAAGGCTACCCACCCCTCTGGACATCTCACCCACTTTCCTTACCATCCCAGAAAGTCGACAGCTGCCACCACCCTCACCACAACTCCCGAAGCACAACCTTCATGTCACCAAGACACTGATGGAGACCCGGAGAAGGCTGGAGCAGGAGAGAGTCACCATGCAGGCAATGCCGGGTGACTTCCGAAGGCCCAGGCTGGCCAGTTTTGGAGGCATGGGCTCCACAGGCTCTCTCTCCTCCTTCATGGGTTCTGGAAACCACATTCCTGTCATGCACCAGCTTCAGAATGGTTACCAAGGCAACGGGGATTATAGTGGCTATGCCCCAGCTGCAGCCACCACCTCTTCCATGGGGAGTTCTATCCGCCACAGCCCCCTGAGCTCAGGGATCTCCACTCCTGTGACCAACGTGAGCCCCGTGCACCTGCAGCACATCCGGGAGCAGATGGCCATTGCCCTGAAGCGCCTGAAGGAGCTTGAGGAACAGGTACGAACAATCCCTGTGCTCCAGGTAAAGATCTCTGTGTTGCAAGAGGAGAAAAGGCAGTTGGCCTCAAAGCTGAAAAACCAAAGAGCTGCATCCCAGAACGACATCAGTGGTGTGAGGAAGCGGTCCTATAGTGCTGGGAATGCGTCCCAGCTGGAACGGCTCTCCAAGGGCCCGAGAAGTGGCGGGGAATTATACATTGACTATGAAGAGGAAGAGATAGAGAGTGTAGAGCAGAGCACACAGAGGATAAGAGAGTTCCGGCAGCTCACAGCAGACATGCAGGCCCTGGAGCAGAAGATCCAGAGCAGTAGCTATGAGGCCCCCTCGGAGCTCAGGGAGAACGGGGAGTGTCGGCCTCGAGAGCATCGGTCCGTGGCTGCGGGTGCCGACGAGAACATGCATGACATTGTTGTGTACCACAGAGGCTCCAGGTCCTGGAAGGATGCTGCTGTGGGGACAGTCACGGAGACGAGGGATTCTGGGGTCAGTGTGACAGAGGCCATGCTTGGCGTGACTACCGAAGCTGACAAAGAAATTGAGCTGCAACAGCAGACCATAGAAGCCTTAAAGGAAAAGATCTACCGCCTGGAAGTACAGCTCAAAGAAACCACCCATGACCGAGAGATGACTAAGCTCAAGCAAGAGCTGCAGGCTGCTGGATCGAGGAAAAAAATCGATAAAGCCATGATGGCCCAGCCGCTTGTCTTCAGCAAGATGGTGGAGGCCGTCGTGCCGACGAGAGACCAGATGGTTGGCCGTCACGTGAATGTCGTTGACTCGTGTGTTGGGACCTCTGTGCAAACAAGTAGCGTAGGCGTCTCCTGCCGGCCCCACTGTGAGAATAAAGTCACGGGGCCGGAGCTGCCCATGAATTGGTGGATTGTTAAAGAAAGGGTGGAAATGCGTGACCAGTGCACTGGAAGGGCTGTGGAAACGTGCGATAAGAGCGTGGGTGTGGAAATCAGCGTCTGTGAAACAGGCAGCAACACGGAAGAATCTGTAAACGACTTGACGCTGCTCAAGACCAACCTGAATCTCAAAGAAGTGCGATCGATCGGCTGTGGAGACTGTTCCATCGATGTGATTGTCTGCCCGCCGAAGGAGTGCACCTCCCGGAGCGTGAGCACGGAGCCCGCGGGCCAGGCGGAAGCTGCTGTCATGGCAGTGCCTCACACCACCAGCCAGCACACCAGCACGGCTTTGGAGCAACTGAACCAGTCCACCAACACCGAGACGGCCACCCTCGTCGAGTCCTGCACCAACACTTCCCTCAGCACTTTGGACAAGCAGACCAGCACCGGGACTGTGGAAACGAGGACCGTGGCTGTAGGAGAAGGCCGTGTCAGGGACATTAACCCCTCCACCAAGACTCGGTCCATCGGAGTTGGCACGGTGCTCTCTGGCAGTTCTGGGCTTGACCGGCCATCAGCTGTGAAGACCAAAGAGTCCGGCGTGGGCCAGATAAATGTTAATGACAACTACCTGGTTGGTCTCAAAATGAGGACCATCGCATGTGGGCCTCCCCAGTTGACTGTGGGGCTGATGGCCAGCAGGAGGAGCGTAGGTGTTGGGGATGAGCCTGTAGGAGAGTTCTTGGAGGGCCCGCAGCCTCAGGCTCCTTCCGGAATGATGACCGGCTTGGATCACTACATTGAGCGCGTCCAGAAGCTGCTGGCGGAACAGCAGACGCTGCTGGCTGAGAACTATAGTGAACTGGCAGAAGCTTTTGGGGAACCTCACTCGCAGATTGGCTCTCTCAACTCGCAGCTCATCAGCACCCTGTCATCCATCAATTCTGTCATGAAGTCTGCAAGCACCGAAGAGCTGAGGAACCCCGACTTCCCCAAAATGAGTCTGGGTAAAGTCGCAGGTAGGTAGCACTCTGCAGGACTTGGGGATGAGGAAGGGTGGGGACTATACTTCTAGAACCATTCTAAAATGCTAGAACCCTGGAGAAAGCTTTAGAGTGGTAATTCGGTAGAATGATGGAAAACCGTGGCTAAATCTGCTGTTTCTCATTGTCTGGTAGCTTCTTTGGCCTCTGCCTGAGGACTAAGGCTAGAAGAAGAAAAGCAAACTAATGCTGGCTGGCCTAGGGGCTGTCTCCTGGGACTGCTGGTTTGATATGATGTCTTCCAATTATTTATTTACTTGCTCATTTAATTTAGGCAGGCTTAAAAAAGGTCCTTTCATGTTTGTAACCCCAATTATCAGTATATTATTATTACTGTTTTTACCAGTATATTATTGATAAAAAAAAATACTGGTAGAAAATATTAAAACTTTTTATGAGGGGAGGGAGACTCCATTAATTCATATTAATCCAGCAAATAATGATTGAGTTCCTGCTCTGTTTCAAGCATAGGTGTCAGCTCCTGTCCTGACATTCCAGTTGGGGGCACAGGCACTAAACAATAGGCCTAACCCATGTCAGGTGGTGATATGTGCTATGAAGAAAAGAACTCCAGTTACAGGAATAGTGAGTGGTGGTGGTCTGAGTGGGGACTGTTTGAGGTGGGGTGGCCCAGGAAGGCCTCTCTGATAAGCCAGAACTCTGAGAGAAGGGAGCCCTAGCCCACTGTTTGTTTTGATCGGTGGTTACATTTTTGTCTTCTTCATCCTTGCCCTTATTCATTGGGATTCCTGCTCACCTCCTGATTTTTTTTTAATTGAAGTTAATAATTGAGAAATTATCCTGGAAGATTTTGTGGCATAATACTTCCCTGGACGCCTCACTAAAATGACTTCCCTTGTTATTAGTGTTGTGTGTCTCTAAGAATGCATACTATCCGCCCAGGACGGGGCTTCATTCCTGGCTGTCCTGGTCTCACGAACCAGCCTGACCTGGGGAAGCAAAGTCAGCCTTCTTTACAGGGCCTTGTAAAGTGGGGACTGGAAGGGCTCCCATCCTAGAAGGTTGTCACTGTGTTGGTCACTGGCATGTGGTGAGCACAGGGTCACTGTTGTTGTCATTGGTGGTTGTGCTAGCAGCATGTTGAATGTGGTTTCCTTTGTTGATGTGCTAAACCGTAGTGTGAGGTTTGGGAGGCCACTGCAAACATATTCTCAACTCTGACCAAAGGCTACATGCAAAACGAATGTAAATGCTTCATGTGATTTGTGTGATGTAGATTAAATTTAAGTTTATTTTGATTGATTGATTGATTTTAGAGAGAGAGGAAAAGGGAGAAAGAGAAACATTGATTGTTGTTCCACTTATTTATTCATTCATTGATTGATTCTTGTATGTGCCCTGACCGGGGATCCAACCTGCAACCTTGGCATATAGGGATGACACTTTAACCAACTGAGTTACCTGGTCAGGCCCTAATATGCATTAAATTTAATTGTAACGTGAAAATATCCAATGTTTTAGACTTAACCATAAGTAAGCCATTAACAAGAATTTCAAAGTCTTTCTGTTTCTCTCTATACGCAGTGCTTCTCAACCTTCTGGCCCTTTAAATACAGTTCCTCATGTTGTGACCCAACCATAAAATTATTTTCATTGCTACTTCATAACTGTAATGTTGCTACTGTTATGGATCGTAATGTAAATATCTGATATGCAGGATGGTCTTAGGCGACCCCTGTGAAAGGGTCGTTCGACCACCAAAGGGGTTGCAACCCACATGTTCAGAACCGCTGCTTTATAGCCTAAAAGTAGTAGTGGCTGAAATGGACTGAAATATCTTTTATATCTCCCTAGGTTTCCACTTTCAATACTGAATTAATATTAGCTTTTAGTAACCATGCTGTGGAACAGACAGCTTATTGTAGGAGAAAAAATGGACATGACCATGACAGCTGATGTGTGTGTTTTTGCCTTTTAGAATCAAAGGAGTCTAATAAATGTTCAGGGGAGTCATTGTAGAGTAAACAGGATTAAAATGATATGTGGACTGAAGCAGGAGTCTTCAGTAACTAATAATATGTCTGTTTCCACGTCTTTTTTAAAAATCATGATGTCAGATGTTGAAGTCAAAATAAAACCCTTAAATACCCCCAGACACAGATGGTACAGTAGATCATCCATTATAAAGGCGTTTTCCTGCCAGCCTTCCTCCCTCTTCCCCAAACTGGGACTTCTATTTCACATTCTTGCCAAAAATATTCGGCTGAACCATTAGAGTAATCTGCCCGACACCCCGAACAGCAAGAGGGGGGATAAAGTTGTGTCTGGCTGTGTGACAGTGTGTTTGGGTCTATTTCCAGTCACACCGATGCTCCACACTTCTCTGCTTAGATCTGACCCTGCACAGGATTAATCAGCTAAAATGCACAAGCGCCACAGCATTGGTGAACAAACAGTATAAATATATTTAATAATACTTATTGGGTCATAGTGGCAGCTCCCTCGCAGAACACACAAGAACAGCTTCAAAGTATTTCTGTAATCCACATCACGTTTGTATTTTAGACGTTTTGCTTTTAAACTTCCAATGAAGAAGGAATTCGGTTAGGAACTCAACCCAGGGTGTTAAATATTTGTTATCTGGTATTTGTTATATGAACTGAAAATGAAAGCAGCTTGATCTGTGGTCTAGAGAGAGTGTCAGTACCTGCAAGCTGTGAAGATTAAAGGTGTGTCAAAATGCACTGCGGCTGACTGTGCACACCATATAATAGAGAGTGTTGCTCACACACAACGTTTCATGCCTTTCTCTACCAAAAGGCATAATGGAGTATAGGAAGGTATTCATTTCAGACTTTGTCTTCCAAATGAAATGATAGGGTATTTGGGTTTGACATCTACCAAAAAGATCATATAAATGATTATGTATGTTATGTCAACATAATACTTGAGTTCGAAGGAGCTATTGAGTTTGGGCTCCAAAGCCAGACATTCTGGGGTCAAATTCTTTCTCTGCCACTAGGACAACTTGTCTTCATTCCCTCACAGGGTTGAAATGAAGATTTAATGAGTTAATAAGAGTAAAGCATTTGGAACAGCCCGCAGCACAGAGTATATAAATGCTCAATAAATGCTGGCTGTCGTTGCTGTTACTATTTTTAGTACTTCCAGAAATGGAAATGTGGACATAGAACAAATTGCCAAACAGAAATTGTGCAAATGATCTTTTGTTTTTAATCCAAATTTTCATCTTCATAATTCTGACTGGCCATTGCCTTCGTCCCCCAATTATATTATGCCTCCCCAACTAACAATTTTATCAAAATAAAAAAATATATATAGATAAAAATGGGAAAATACAAAGTAGGAAGAATAAATTTTCAGTTCAGCCTCATTCAGAATCTGTGTGAAAGCCCAAAACGAAGCCAAAATTAAATTAAGTATATTAGTGTCCAGTCTAGGAAATTCTCTTAAACTTGCCTAGGGTTGAAGATTTGAGGGTATAACTTGTTGGTATGCAAAAGAGCATTATTTTTAGCAGCATTATTATGCCTAAACTATCATTTTCTTAAAATTATAACAAGTATGTGCTCATAACAAATAGCGGTTCAGAAGGCCATAAATAAAGAATGACAGCCTCTCTCTCACGCCCCCAGGGGGTAACCTCGTGTGTGCTTGGTGTACACAAGTGTGTATGTGAGTGGGGCTATATTTTGGAGACATACTTTTTTAAACAAAAGTTGGATCATACATATTCTATGCATTTGTCACGTAAAAGATCACAAACATTTTTCATGAATTTGGTGCTGACCAAAGATGTTCTATAAAACATCTTTTTATAGACATGTTTTATAAAACATGTTTTTCATTCCTAGCAATTGAACTTCCATGTATTATTTCTATAGGTAGATAAGTAGGTTGTAATTAAGAACTTAAGAAGAAATAAGTTTCTGTTATCAAAGAAACCTTAGGAAAAGAAGGTTTATGCTTCCTGTAAATCAATTGGATTGTTTTGGTTTGAGGAGTGGGTTAATATTTCTTTTCATTTTTTTTCTTTCTCTCTGGAAGAGGAAACAGGAGAGAAAATTCTAGACAAATGACGTGCAGTTATAAATACTCTAAATATATTATAGCTGTCTCTGAGGAAACACAAACAAAACTATCTATAATGGTGGAACTGAACTGCCTGCCACATGAGTTATAGAAAATTCATCTCTCATACTCAGACAAAAGAACTGCGTTTTAAATCAGCTTCCACATTTGCCCTGTTCATTATCTCAAGTTTGTTAAAAAGTTTATGAACTTGAAGTCATTCCCATAATTGTGAAAGCAGTTTTGTAGACAGAGAGATGTGAGCCAAAGCAAAAGCAGGGAAATAAATTGTTACAAAATTCCATTTCTAGTTAGTTTTCTCCTAGTTCAAATAATTACCAGTTACTTGTCCTGGTACCTATTTTTTTAATAATAATTGTCTTTTAATTAGTGCTACAATAGCATCAGAATAAGCCAAACAAAATATTGTTGGCACCCTGCAGTATATGTATACTGGCATGAGGTAGTTAGCTAACTTCTGGTACCGGCTGTACAGGAACTTGGAGAATCACTGTAGAAAGGGAGAGACTGGGCTTCCATGTCCTTCTGTGTCATGAGAAGGATGCATTAGATTTTTCATGCAGGGGGCTCTTTCAGCAGAATTTTTATGCGAAACTAGCTCTTCACCAGACTGCCCATCAGACTCAGCTGGGGAACTTTTCCAAAATTCATGCGTTTCCTGCTGTCATCCACCACCACCATCACCAACCCTATAGGCACACCCCAGGCCCTATTTCAGGGAAATATTGTTGAAATAAACAGCCTTAGAGTGAGGCTTCTTAACCTGGGGTCCATAGCTTCATGAACATTTTTGTGTTTGGAATTTTTATGAAGAAAGTGCATAATTTTCATCAGAGTGTCAAAGGGGATAGTGACCCTCAGAAGGATTGAAATTTTAGATCGGTTTCAGACCTTGGGGAAAA